ACACACACACACACACACACACACACACACGCTCTGGGGGCTGGTATTCCAGAGGCCCAAGCAGCAACCCCCGACCTGGGCACCCGCAGACAAGTCTACTGGGCTGAGTTTTTGTTCCTGTCGGGAAGGAAAGCCCCCAAACCTTTGCTGGCTTCCTGGTACTTGCGCCTGGCCTGGGCACTATCGCGAACCAGGGTCCGGTACTGACTCTTTAGCTTTTCAATGTCCTGACTGTGGGTCTGGAAGAAAAGGGAGGTCAGAGGGGGGGGAGGCCGAGCCTCAAGCCTTGGGAGTCCTAGCTGAGGTAGAGCCTTAGAAAGGTTGTGCTATCCAGGGTGTCAGGTTAGCCTAACTTATACTTCTAGAAGAGTCTGGAGACTTCTGGGGAAGCTGGCTGCTGAGGTCAGAGGAGCTGAGTTATAGATGGTCTGCTGAAGGGGCCAGGAAGAAATTTGGGGCAGGACCCGACTACCTGGTGGCAGGTAGAGTTGGCCTCAGGTAAAAATATTCCTATGACTCCACCCTCAAAAGCCCCTTAGGCTCAGCTTCCTCTCCTGTTGTTATCACATTGAAATTTTTTTCTTGGGCTGGAGAGGCAGCTCAGAGGTCCTGAGTTCAATTCCCAGCAACCACATGGTGGCTCACAACCATCTGTAATGGGGTCTGGCGCCCTCTTCTGGCCCTCAGGCATACATGCAGGGCAGAACACTACATAATAATAATAAAAAAAGAAATTCTTTTCTTTTTCCCCATTTTTTTCTTGAGGCAGGGTCTCACTCTAGTCTAGGTTTACCTAGAACTCACTCTGTAGCCCAGGCTGGCCTGAAACTTGTAGCAATCCTATCTCTGATTACAGACATGAATCACTACACTCGATTTCATGTTGAATTATTATCATCTCAAAGGTTTGTCTCATTTTATTTATGTGTGTGTGCGCAGGAAGGCATGTCCTTCCAAAGCCAGAGGGGGCTATTATATCCTGGGACTAAAGTTATAGGCGGTTGTGAACTTTGTTTGATGTAGGTGCTGGGATCTGAACTCTGATCCTCTGAGAGAGAGCAGTAAGCACTCCTAACCACGCAGCCATCTCTCCAGCTCTTTGTGCGTGTGCGTGTGTGTGTGTGTGTGTGTGAAGGTGTGCATATGATTTAGCACACATAAAATCAGAGGATAACTTGCAAGCATTGGTTCTCTCCTTATTCCAGGGATCAAACTCAGGCTGGCAGGCTTGGCAGCAAGTGCCTTTGCATACTGAGCCTTCTCAGTGGCCCTTAGTTTTCTTTTGCTCTTTTTTTCCCCCCCTTTTAGACAGGGTCCTGCTCTATAGCCCAGAATAACCTGCAATCTTCTTGCTTCTGTTGCCTGAATGCAAGATTACAGACCTGGCGTGTGCAACTCTTTAATTTCCAACATTTTTTTTTTTTTGAGACAGCTCTGGATGTCCTAGAACTCACTTCATAAACAAGGCCGGCCTCAAATTCACAGAGATCGGCCTGCCTCTGCCTCCCGAGTGCTGGGATTAAAGGCAAGCGTGCCACCACCACCCGCTGCCCGCCACCGGCTAACTTCCCACATTTTTAATTTGCATAGGGTCCTGCACGGCATGTTCTTGGTAACAGGACACTAGGTGGTGGCCACAGACTGGAGTCCTTATCCAAATTCTCTGGCTTGGGTGCCGGGACACAGCGCGCAAGCTTTCATTTGCTTCTTGAAACCTCAGTTACCCCATTGTTACTGATTAAATTCATAGGCTTGGCCAGTCTTAAAGGGCCAGCTAGTAAATATTTCTGGCATGTAGGCCAAAGAGTCTGGAGAAATTACTCCATTCTGTAACCGAAACATAGAGTCCTAAATGAGCGTGGCTAGGACCCCACAAACGGGCAGACCCTTGAATTAGGATGCAGGTAGGAAAGGAAGTTGGGCCACAAGGGGGCGCTGTGGGTCCACGGGAAGACCTAGCTCTGTGGCGCTGAAAGGGGTGTGGTACTCGGAGGCTGACCAGTGAACGTGGGAGACAAAGCAGCCGCACACACCCCAGCCTATAGTTGAAGAGCCGCTGGAATTGAGACCTCGACAGACCTCTGTCTCTGGGTCCCTGGAAGGAGCCACTCTGAGCCAAAGACGGACTTGGCCACCCCAAGTCCCTCACCCCTGAGCTGCACTGATCTCGGAGGCAAGGGCTAGTCTCACCCATTCTGGACTTCAACACTCTGCTCATGCACAGACCGATGCCTCGACAGGCCCTGTAGCAGGTTAGCCAGAGCTGGGGGAGAAAAAGAGGAAGCAGCAGCAGCAGCAGCAGCAGCAGGGTCAGACAAGCCATCCTGGAGCCAGGCCTGCGGCCAGTGACTTCCGCTTCCGCAGGCGTTCTTGTGCAACTCCTGATTGTGAGAGTCCTCCTCGGGGTGCACACCCACCTTGGTGAGCTCCTGCTGCAGCTGCTGCCACTGCTCGTTGTAAGTCTTTCTCAGGTGCTGCCGCTCCCGGATCAGCACACTCAGCTTGCTCAAGGGCCCCGAGTTCAGATCTTCCGCGTGCTGCCGCAGCACCCGGCTCAGGTTCTCTGTCTGGCTCGTGATCTCTGCCCAGGACTAGGGCACAAGGTGGGATGGGGAAGCAGGAAGACCGTGACAACGGCCCTCGAGCCTAGATGTGCTACATTTCTCCAGCCCCACATCTAAGGGTTTGGGGAGAAGCCGGGTGAGTGGAAGCTCACCTGGCTGACGTGGCTGTCAGGACCACTGCTCCAGTTCTGACCTCCGCTGTCCTGCAGGGACATGTGGTGGAGCAGTCCTGCATATTCCCGGTCACTCTTGACCCTCTGGGCCATCCACTTCCTCATCCCCTCCAGTAAGCGGAGCTCCGCTTCCTGCATCTGTTGCACTGCCCCGTGGCCCTGGGGGCTGCACAGCTCCGAAGAGAAGCCCATATTGGTGTCCTAGGGACAGAGACCAGGTCATTCAGTGGAGACAAAGCAGCAGCTGGAGGTGGAAGGGCAGGAAAAAGAGGCCAAAGGCTAGTAAGGTCAAAGAGGGCTCCCTCCGGGCAGGACATGGGTGGAGTCCTATCCAGCAGAAAAACCGAGAGGCACAGAGAGCAACCTGGGCTGGGGACGGCACTTGCTCTTTCCTGTGTGCCGGGCCAGGTCCCAGAGCCAGTGGTTCCTTTTCCAGGAACGGACTGGAGATCCCTACTAGGGTCCGTCACCCACACGGTTCCTGGATGGTCCCGGATCCTGCACCAGGGTCCTCAACAGTGCCAAGTTTGCTGGACTGCTCGGCGCCACTGGACTCTCCTGCCCTTCCCAAGCTCCCAGGCCCACCCCCAACAGGTTTCAGGCTCCCAGAGCATCTGCCTGGCCCCTTTCCAGTTCTCACCCATTGCCACCCCTTGCCACCCCTTGCCCATACCCTATCTAACCTTCTGGACCGCAAAGGTGAAGTTACCTTTGCGGTAACTTGTGGGCAGCTAGCTGTTCCGGGGGCAGGCAGTAGCGGACCAACTCGGGCCCAGAATCCACTCAGCCCAGTTCCTGATTACCAGCTTCCTCCTCCGTGGTTTCAGTTGCCCCAGGCCCCGGGGCGGGTCCACTACAGGGAAGGGGAGGGCTGGAGTTTACAGCCCCCCCCCCCCCCCCCCCCCCCCCCCCCCCCCCCGCTCCCTACTCTGCATGCCCTGGGCTACAGCCTGCAGAGGCACGGGAAACGGAAGGGAGGAGGAGGCCGGCAAAGAATGGTCATGCCTGTGCACCAGACACTCCCAAGGGCCCTGCGACGTCCTGTGAACATGGAGAAGGAACCCAAAATGGAGTGGGAGGGACTGAAGGAGTTGGGCCCAGTGGCACCTAGGGTGCTCAGAGTCCCGCCAGGGTGCTAAGGTGTCAGCAATCGCAGACACAGACGCAGGGGAGGAGGGAATCCTAGTCCTGTCCCTTCTCTGGATTCCCTAAGCATAGCCCGGGCGGGCGTCAGCCTCTATTTGAATAGAAAATTTCCAAATAAATACCCCGAGCAGAGGCCTGCTGCTCAGCACAGGTACCCAGGTAGGGCTTCAGTCTCAATGGAAGCCTGGGTCAGCGCTGGGTATGAGAAAGATGCTCAGGCACCCCCAGCCATGTAGTCCTAGTGTGCTATCCCCCTCCACCCTTGTAAGAGTCTATGTAGTCCTGGCTGTCCTGGAACTCAATATGTAGGCCAGGCTGGATTCAAACTCAGATCCATCTGCCTCTGCCTCCCAAACTGGGATTAAAGGTGTGCACTACCACACCCAGCTCCATTTCTGGGCAGAAACGGGGTTATCTGACTTTTGGATTAGAACTCACTTTTAGGGGAAGCCAGGGCTTAACCTGTAACCATGGGAGAACACCGCTTACTGGCTGGCTCGGATTGCTTTCATATACACCCTTGGCCAGGGGTAACCCCCCTCCCCCCCAGTATGCCAGATCTTTTCCACATCAGCCATTAAGAAAATGCTCCCCAGACTTGCCCAGAGGCCAATCTGATGAAAGGCAATTTCTCAACTGAAGCTTTTCTACGCAGATCAAACTAGCTTGTGTTACATCCCCTGGCCTCCCTTCCCCCAGCCCCCCACCCCCACTTCCGCCTGGCTGCACACATGCAACACACACACACACACACTAACAAGCAGACACACACAACACTAACAAGCACACACACAAGCACGTGCACACCCACTAACAAGCACACACACAAGCATGCACACACTAACAAGCACGCAAGTCGTCTTGGCTCACTCAGACTCCCCTTAGACCTCAGCTCTGTAGCTGGTGCCCAGGTGACTTCACTTGGCCCACCCTCTAGGCCTTGCCTAGGAAGCTGGCACACCTGCTCAGCACAGGACGCCCCAGCCCCCTGGAAACATTTCAGCTTTCTGCAGTCAAGGCACCACTGAGCCAAACTGGCCCCCAGTTCCCACCTGTCCCCAGCTGAGCCCAGTGAAGAGTCCTGGGAAGAGCAAGAGAAGCACACCAGAGACCAGGCTTGGTTTGCATAGTCTGCACGTTTAATCACTTTAAAACCTCTAACATTATCTTGTGTCCATTAAATAGAACCAACAATGCCAGGCCTGTTTAAATTACAAGGAAAAAAAATCACTGTGTACCAACCCAGTATCTTACAAAACCAGCCGGGATGGCCATGAGGGGTGGGCAGAAGGGGCACCCCTGGGCAGGTAGGCTGGGTACCAGAGGAAAAGCTAGGGAAAAGAAAAAGGGGGTCCCAGGTGGGAGGGGACTGATTGTCCTAATGGGAGGGGTGCAAAAGGCACATCAGAAGAGAGGGCTTGGGGGGCATCATAGGCTATGCTTTCTCCACCAGGGCACAGTGTTAGAAAGGGCTTGGTGCCGCCACCTGCCCACCCCTGGCACTGGAGAGCCAGCGACCCATAAGCCCTTGGCACAACCCCATTTGAAACACAGATGTCAGTCTACCCCCCTTACCATAACCCACTTTCCTAGAGCCCACCTGGCCAGCCTGCCTCTTCACGGCACGGGGCTTAGTTATTCCCTACTCCTCAGCAATATGCTGCAGGCCCCTCTACCTCAGGGCTGGGCAGCCATGGGAAAGGCAGGGTGGGCATGGGTGTGAGGAGGTCAATGGTCCAGCTGCTACCCCCATTAAAAATACAAAAACAAAAATCAGCATCTAAAGTGAAATAATCACAAAGTGAAAATATATCCTCAAACAGCTCCTGAGATCCCCACAGGGGAAAGCAGCATCGGGTGGGAGGCGGGAGGGGCCGGCTAGGCCACCGTCCCTTCCCATCACCCACCCAAGGGGCTCCGGTACTGTGAGTGCCCAGCCCAGGCAGCCCCGGGCTCAGAAAACAGGGCCCTGGCAGGGGGGGGGGGAAGGTGTCATCGACAGGATGTCAAGACACCAGCGTAAGGCCCCCAGAGCTTTAGTTTGGCCCGTGCCTGCCCAGCTCGGCCTGGAGTGCAGAGGCAGGCTGAGGGCATGTAAGGGTGGGCACGGTGGAGCTGGACAGCGCCTGCTTTGCTTTGGTCCCTTCCTACAACTGCAGCGGCTGTGGAGGCTCACCCATGAGCTTGAGGGTCAGGGGATGCAAAAGCCCTTGGAGAGGTGGCCGCCGTCTTCAGTACCTCCTGGCCGGCCTCCCTGTTGCCTGGATGGGGACCATTATTGCTTTCTGAGGGGCAGGAACGGGTAGGGCTGCAGCGATCAGGACCCCGAGAAAGGCCGCCCCTCTTCACTCCACAGAACTCCAGCTGGGCCTTGGAAGCTGCCCTAAAGATTTTACTCCTTCTCCACGTGGAGGGGTGGGAGGGGGTGAGGCTCCTGGGTCCCCACCTCAGGCAAACAGGTAGGCCCAAGGGTGGGGTAGGAAGCAGTGTCTGCCCCTCTTACCTCCCAACTAGGGTCCAAACCCAGTCCCAAGATAAAAAAATACTTTGGTGAATTAAAAAGTGCCCGAGGAAGGGATCAATTTGATGGGGTGGGAGTGGGCTCGTCAAAGGGCGCTCTGGTCTTTTATAAAGGCGGTCCTCTCGCCCCGGCCCTCATCCTCTTCTGAGTCAGACGGGCACTCCTCCTGCCAGGCTTCTGGGGGCAGCCCCTTGTAGGAAACGAGGCCGCGGTCCATGGTGTACACCTTCACTCCCCGGAAGCTTAAGCCAGAGCGCAGCTGCAAGACCAGGAAGACGGTACCGAAGACCAGCACGATGAAAACGCAGCTGAGGCCGGCCACCACCTCAGGCAAATGAGAGGGGAGCAGCCCAGCCTGCAGCCGGGGCTCCACCTCCACCTCTGGGTGCAGTGCGGGAGGCTGCTGCTGAGGCCGAGACTCTCGGCTGCTCTGGCTTTGCCGGGAGCAGGTTTGCTCCACAGGGTCCAGGGAGGCATGGCTGGGGCAGCTGAGGCAGTCTGTGGGAGCTGGGCCCTGGCATGTGGCACATGAGGTGTGACAGGGGGTGCAGACGCTGGCACGGATGATCTCCACATCATTCTCAGTGCTGTAGTGTGTATCGAGGACTTGGGGTGTGAAGCCTGGTGGGCACTGCTGGACACAGCTTTTCTGGTGCAATGAGAAGCCTTCCTCGCACACTGCCAGCACAAGAGAGGATGGGGAGCATTAGTCAAGGGCATTGCAGCCTCTAAGCCACTGAGCTCTCTACCCGAGGTCCAGCCACAGTGGACCTACTGTCCCCAGGAGCCTTTTTTCTTTAGCTGCTAGACCATCACTGTCCCCTCTGACTCCACCATTCCAATCCCATCCCCGCAACCTTCCCAGCCGTAACCACATCCACTACTGACCCACGCAGGCCTGGCTGGAGGTGAGGGTTTTGCAGCCGCTGCTTTCAGGAGGTGTAGCGAGCCCCTCAGGAGCTGTGCCATATAGTACGAGCGTAAACTTGGTCAGCGTCCCTATTCCCGGGTTCATAAGAGAAGGATCAAGGGCGTGGGCACCGTGTCAACAGCCTAGAGCCCAGCAGCCCCCCACCCCCACTCTCCATACCATAGTTGTTGGCTTCGCTGGTGTTTTCAATCTCTAGGACCCATTCGCCAGAGGGGTCCTCATCCCAGGAATGAGTTGTCATGAAAGCCCAGTCATTAAACCCATCAGCGGAGTAGTCATGGGGTCTGGAGGAAGAGAGTTCCATGTAGCCCACGATATATGGGACATACGCTATTCGTCCCTCACAGACTGGAAATGTTTTCTAGGAAGGCTATTTCCCAGATGCTCTTAACCAGGGGGCACACACAACTGGCATGAAAAATGGGTCTCAGGCAAGGATTCCCGTGATGGGGGAGTCCCAGAGGACATGGCTGTCCCTCGCCCAAGTGTCCCTGATGCTTGCTGGAGTCTTGGAGATAAAGTGACAAGGATCTGGAAGCGAGAGTGCAAAGGGGACATGGTGAGCACCTGGCAGCCAGTAAGGTGGAGCGGGTGCCCATGGGGCTGACAAGGTGGATGGCCAGGTCACCACGGCGGTTGTAAGACAGGGTGAGCCGTGCCTGAGCATGTTCCAGCCGGGTGATGTGGTTGGGCTCGCCCAGGCACGCCGTCACAGACTTGCGCACCTCTAGCCGTTTGCCAATGTCCCTACGCAGAAAGCACGTGAGTCAGCAGGACAGGAGTGGCCAGCAGGCGCCCCAGAACTCTCAGGCCGATTTGCTGCCCCCCCACATTCAGGGCCCAGTTTTTACTTGGGTTCCACCAAGATGTCAATGATGCACTTCCGCTGGGGGGCCACTGTTGTCCAGTTCTGAGCCAGGGCCACCATGGCACCTGCATCCAACAGCCCGTAGCCATACGAATGGCTCACTGCAGAGACAGAGAAGGGTCAAGAGGGAAGCAGGAGTGCCCCATCCTACCTCAGAGTCTAAACCTCTGGGTCACCATCCCTCACCTTTCCGGCCCACACCGTTGGTGGCCCAATCATTAGCATTGAGGTGGGCTGGCTTTGAGGTCTGCACCACCAGGTGCTGCATGTCCCGCCAGGTGAGGTTCTTACTGAAAAGAAGAGAAAGTCTAAGGGTCAGGCTTTCTGGAACATAGCAGGAGAAAACAGCTCCTTTACAGAGAGCGCTGCGGGGACAGGTGCTGCTTGTCCACTTACTTGGCCTCCAGGGTGAGAGCAATGATGCCAGCTGCCAACGGGGCAGAAGCTGAGGTGCCCGTGTGAGATTCTGTGCACTTCTGCCTCAAATCAGTTGTCACCTGCCAGAGGACAATGGTGTTGAAACCATGATGGATGTTGGGGGGAGTAAAGGAGCCACCTGCCTGTCCTGCCAAGAGTAATCGGTACCCCAGAAGTCAAGACACTTGGATCCCAGCTTCTACCTTGCTAACATGCATAGCCCCTTCTCTCAAGGATTAAGGTGGATCAATCAGAGGTTGGAGGAAAGCAGGTTTTCAGGGAGACTGTACTTCTTTTGCAGCCCTCAAGATTCTACGAGGGACTCCAGCTCTCAGCACACATTCCACAAGGCCACACAGGGATGAGAGCAGATGAGATCTAATGGGGCCCCAAGCAGAGAACAAGAAGCCTTCTGACCCAGTTCCCAAGCCTGGGGAAGACTTACAATCTGCTTCTCATTCTGGTTGCCACTGCTGTAGGTGGTGGCCAGCGTGGAGGAGCAGGCCTCACTGTACCAGGGCACGTTGCCAAACTGCGTGGCGCTGCTGATGGACAAGGTGTAGATGCTGTTGGTGTAGCCGTCACAGTTGCAGCTGTCATGCTCCCGGCCCCCGTTCCCCGAGGCCCAGACGAAGATGGAGCCCAACCCCCCGCGACCCTGTGAACAAAGCAGGTCAAGGTTACTCAAGATGGGGCATGAGTTGGGGGGGTGGATAAGGGATACAGAGGTGAGTAGGAAGATGCTGCAGCAGCCTGAGAAGATGGGAGCCCCATCTCTGGGGTCTCAGCTCACTTCTTGGATCCACCTAAAGATCCCTATGAAGTATGTATGTACACTTAGGCTTGGGCATCAAATCAAAGCAGCCTAGGTTCAGAGTGGTATGGTCCCCACAGGACGGGGTAATGGATGCTCTCTCTCTCTCTCAAACAATTATTATATGATATGTGCTGTGGCTGTGCATGCCATGGTGCCCATGTGGTGGTCAGAGAACAACTATGCGGAGCTGGTTCTCTCCTTCCACATGTATATGGGCACCGGGGCTTTAACTCAGTCATCCAGCTGTGTGCAGATGCTGTACCTGCCAACATCTCTCTTAGACCCTGTCACGTATTATCTGTGGTGATGCTGAGATCAAACCCATGGTCTCAGGACGGGATGCAGCTCCACAGCAGAGGACCTGCCTAAAATATGTAATGTCTATGCTCAATATAACACTGCAATCTTTGCCCCAATTAAAAAAAAGTCAGGGGGGCTGGAGAGATGGCTCAGAGGTTAAGAGCATTGCCTGCTCTTCCAAAGGTCCTGAGTTCAATTCCCAGCAACCACATGGTGGCTCACAGCCATCTGTAATGGGGTCTGGTGCCCTCTTCTGGGCTGCAGGCATACACACAGACAGAATATTGTATACATAATAAATAAATAAATAAATAAATATATTAAAAAAAAAAAGTCAGGGCTGGAGAATTAGCTCAGCAGTTAAGGGAACCTGTTGCTCTTGAGAATCAAACCTGGGTTTGATTCTCAGCACTCATGGTGGCTCACAGCCATCCATAATCCCAGTTTCAGGGACTTCAACAGGTGAGCATGCGGTGTACATACATGCAAACCATTAAAACATTTATACTTATAAAATAAAAATAAAATTAAAAAAATCAGGACCTTGGCCAGGCAGTAGTTGCACACGCCTTTAATCCCAGCACTCGGGAGGCAGAGGCAGGCGAATCCCTGTGAGTTTGAGGCCAGCCTGGTCTACAAGAGTCAGTTCCAGGGCAGCTAGGACTGTTACACAGGGAAACCTAGTCTTGAAAAAAAAAAAAAACCCAAAAATCAGAACCTTATTCAAATGTCACTTATTCACTGTCAGTCTCCAACTCCTTAATATTTTAATAACATTTAGTTTTAAAATTTTTTAATGTGCATGTATGTCTATATAAGGTTGCCAGATCCCTAGGGAACTGGAATTACAGACAGTTGTGAGCTGCCACATGGGTGCTGGGAATTGAATTCTGGTCCTCTGGAAGAGCAGCCAGTGCTCTTGACTGCTAAGCCATTTCTCCAGTCCATAAAATTTATGATTTTTTATGAGTGTTTTGCCTCTATGTATGTACATGTAGTATAAGTGTGTCTGGTGCTCTAAGAGGCCAGAAGAGGGCACCAGATCCCTGGAACTGGAGTTACTGATAGCTGTGAGCCACCATGTGGGTTCTGAGAACCATTTGCAGGTTCTCTACAAGAGCAGCCAGTGCTCTTAACCACTGGAACATTTCTCTGGCTTCTATAACATTTCATTTTACCACTTTTGTCAATATTAAAATTAAACACAAAAGCCAGGAGGCATGGTGGTGCACACCTGTAATTTCAACGTCAGGAAGCTGAAGCAGCAGAGTCATGAGTTCGAGGCTAGCCTGGGTTAAAAGGTTACATGGCAACCTTGACCCTAGGACAGTCAAAACCACATAGGAAGACCTTGTCTCAAAAACAAGGGCCAAGAAGTGGTGGCTCATGCCTTTAATCTCAGTACTTGGTGGCAAAGGCAAGTGGATCTCTGTGAGTGCAAGGTCAGCCTGGTCTACAAAGGGAGTTCCACCACAGCCAAGGCTGTTACATGGTGAAACCCTGCTTGGAAAACCGAAAGATAAAGAGAAAGAAAGAAAGAGAGAAAGAAAGAAAAAAACAGTATCTAAAATAGAAAACAAGGAAGAGAACAAATGTAAAAGATAGAATTAGCCAGCCTGATTTCCAGGGCTGGCATTGAACCCCCACTTCACCTGGCTAACTCCCCGAAAGAAGGCCTCTTCAGCGAGACGGGCTGGCCCATCCACGGTTTTGCCATCGTCTTCAGGGCCCCAGCTGGCGCTGTAGATGTGGATGTGGTTGGGGTTCAAGCCCAGCGAACGAGCCTCTACTGCATCAGTCACCTCGCCATCCAACATGCGCACCCCTGGCCGCAGAGGGGGTGGGAAAAGGGATGCCGCGTGGGTCCAGCTGCCAGGGGCACCCGTAGGCACAGGCCCAGCCTGAACCCCAGGGAGGAGCAAGAAAGAGGAGAGGCCAGTGCTGGGAAACCCAAGGCCCATCAGTTGTCTGCCACTGCCTTTCACAGCCACGACCCGAAGAGGACAGAGGATGTGACCTTCTCCCCAAGACTACACACTCTTCACTAGGAAGAGCCTGGGGCCTCAGAGGAGCAAGGGATCCAAGGTTGTGCTGAGTAAGGGAGACGCTGGCACCGGCTCTCCTATGCTACCAGCACTGGGGTTCCAGCTTTTCCGATTGCTAAGGACCTCCCACAGACTAGCATGCTGCCTGAAGATCTATTGTGGAAGATGGCCATGGGCAGAGAAAACTTCCAAAGAGGTCCCTACTATCTTCAATGTGGACCCAGGGCCAAGGCTAATACCCACCTCCAATTCGGGCGTTGTAAGCCACACCCACACCACAGACACCGTTGTTGGCCACTGCTGCCACTTCACCTGCACACCGAGTGCCGTGCCTGCCAGGGTCGAGAGCACAGCATTAGTGCGGTGGATAGAGTGTAGCAGATCGAGCTTGAGGAGTGGAAGGATCAGGAAGGACCTTGAGCCACATCCACCATCCCTCGCGTGTGCACAGCACTTCCCCTGTGGGGCCTGTAGTCCTCTTTGGTCCGATCAAAACCTCCCTTGGATCTGGGTGCGGAGGATCTGAGTTTGAGTCCAGCCTGGTCTGCAGAGCAAGTTCCGGGACAGTGAGGGCTACATATGGAAACCATGTCTCAAAAGACCAAAACTAAAACTCCCTTGGGTGACTGGGACTAAAAACAAAGACTTGGTTGTGGGGTTGTTTTAGAGTTTTACTGTGTAGCCCTGGCTGTTCTGGAACTCACTCTGTAGATCAGGCTGGCCTAGAACTCACAGAGATCCATCTGCCTCTGCCTCCCCAATGATGGAATTAGAGGCTGCGCCACTACCAACCCTGGTTGTTATTGCATAGCCACTACGCACCTGGCTAGCTTGGAACTCACTATGTAGACCAGACCTCAAATTCACAGCATCTGCCAACATCTCCTTCTCAAGTGCTGGTTAAATTAAAAGAATATGCCACCATGCCCAGAGAGACTTCAGTTTTTAGGTGGGACATGTGACATCAGACTCACCCTAGAGGCCCAGAGGCCAGGACTCTCACTCCTCACCTGTTGTCATTCATCTGTGTGTACCGCGGCTGAGGGTCAGGGTCCTGGTCATTGACATCAAAACTGGCTCCAGGATCCTGTAAGAACAGGCCGTCATCAGGAGCTGCTAACCACAGCGATGACAGAACAGGCCCTAGAGGCCCCTGCCCAGGGGTCACAACCACTCGTCCACTCCTCACATAATTGCCTGCCAAGTCAGGGTGATTCTTCTCGATGCCGTCGTCCAGGATGGAGACCACAATGCCGTGACCTGTGAAGCCCTGTGCCCAGGCTTCCTTCACATTCAGGTCTCGCTGAGTGACACCAGACTGCAGAGACAACCAGTCCATCACCAGAAATATTTGGTTGTTAACTCAGAGAACCCGTTCCAACCTCAAACCTCGATCTTAAAATGCCGCCACTGCTTTCTACAGGGCACACAGACTCCGGGAAGGCAGGACGGGCTAGAGCAGTGGTTCTCAACCTGTAGGTCATGACCCCTCGCAACCCTCTAGCTCCGAATTATTTACATTATGATTCATAACAGTAGCAAAACTGCAGCCATGAAGTAGCAATGAAATAATTTTATGGGTGGGGTCACCACAACATGAGGAGCTGCAGCAACGGGAAGGTTGAGACCCAGTGGGCTAGAGGCAGAGAAAAGGGGGGAAGAATCAGAAGCCCCAGAGTGAGCCTCATCCACGCACAGCCCCTCCCAGTGGTGGGGAGAAGACTAGAACCCAGGAAGGCAGCATACCAGGTACCACTGCTGGGGGAACTTGGGGTCTGTGGGCTCCTGATACACGTCCCTCTTGGTCCTTCGCTTTACGACCTGCTGCTCCAGCCACTTTACCTGGGAATGAAGTAGATAAGTAGATAAGTGTGTGTGGGGGGGGTGCGAAGTGTTGTGGGCGCTCAGAACAGAAGGGGATGGGAGCCAGAAGGGCCAGGGCCACACTTACTTGAGGCTCCCTCTGTAGCCGGCTGTGCCGCGGGCGGTGAGGCGACAGGGACCGCTTTGTCACTGCTCTGTGCCTGAAGTGGTAATAGTCACCGAAGATCTGTAATAAAGCAGCGAGACTGAGATGGGCCTTCCATCTGGCAGTCCCTGGGGGAGGAAGAAAGGGGGTGGACGAGGCTGCTGGGGAGCTCACAAAGACAAGTGGTGTGGGGGGGCATCTGTTCGCTGCTAGGACCCACGATGACAGGCAAGGGATAGAGAAGGACACCCCTCATTTAGATGTGCTGGGTTTTCTAAGCAACCTATGATAAAAGCCCACTAACAGAGCAATGCCACAGATCCCATCCCAGTCACTCAGAACCTGCCTCTTGTTCAGATGCCCTGGAAGACAAACTGCTTTATGGTGCAAAAGCCCCTGCCCTCACCCTCCTCACCACGTGGCAATGTCCTGAAGTTATACCAATAGGCCAGGTAAGAAACCTACCTGGCCCAGGTTGTGGAACCCATGCTTCCGTGCCAGGCTGTCAGCCACAGCTGGGCCTCCAGAGATATGCACAGCCCAAGTGTTGGTGAAGACCTTTTGGCCACGAGCATCAGCTGCTAGCAGGACCAAGGCTCCTGCTGCTGCTACCACCCATAGCAACCAGGGCCTCAGCTCCATGGGGGGGCAGATGACTGGGACCCCGGAGCTCCTGTCTCCCTGGCCTGGTCACAGGGCCTCGGCTGCCACGTGCCTCCTCACTGCCGGGGGCCCGGAGCTGACTGGTGGGGGCATGGGGCCGAGATGGGCAGGGCTGGAGGGCAGGATGAGAGCCGGCTCTGAGGGAACAAGAAAGGACGCTGCGTCAGTCCGTTCTCATCACACGCTAATACCGTTTTCCTGCCTTCAATGCGTAGGCTAACAGGCGTTTCAGGGGAGGTGGATAAAACAAACACCTGAGGGGTTGGGAAGATGGCTCAGGAAGGACATTCACTGCTTCCCCAGTGTGAGGACCAGAGTTTAGAGTCCCAGGACCCACATAACAAAGTAGGCTTGGCAGCCTGCACTGGGAGCAGGGAGAGACACCAGGATCCCTGGGGCTTGTTGGCTGGCCAACCTATCCAAATCACAAGCTTCAGGCTTGGGAAGAGAGCAGGCCTCAAAACAAAAAACAAACAAACAAACAAAAAACAGTGGTCAGGGCTGGCTCTGTGGTAAGAGCACTCATAGCTCCCAAGAACCAGGCTGGTCCCAGCACCTATAGTGCATGGGTCACAACTGCTTATAATTGCAGCTCCAAGGGATCCAACATCCCCAGCTTCACCAGACACAAACCCCTGAAATGTCTCTGCAAGAATCCAGCTCCTACCCCTACGGGTCAGCCAAACAGACACACGGACCCAACATCTCCCTTCACAAGCCTTTCTCCATTAAGAATACAAGCAGGGCTTGAGTCATTCAAAATAAAAAACAAACAACATCCAAAGAAAGAAAGATACATTATAAAATGGCATGTACACAGGATTCCATTTTGTTTTCTTAAAAAACTATAGATGCATGTTTATACAAAACCAAAACAAAATCTGGAAGGACACCCACTGCAATGCTAACAATGGTTCCCTGGAGATGGTGAGAATCTGAGCAGGAACTGTTACTTCTTGTCTTTGTGTGATCGTATGTTCTCACACCTAGCTATATTTTATAAAAAGAATAACATGCTAGCTCTTTAAAAAACGTACAGGGTCTACCCAGCTCATTAGGGTATCCCGGTTCAGCGAAAACGGTTAGCTATAGGAGTTCTTTGAAAACAGAGTCCCTGCAAGGAAAGAGTGGGCGACTTAAGTTGGAGGGGGGGGGGGTCTGGGAAACCATGCTCTGAGCACAAGGGATTCCTGAGGCTTCACCTCCCTCTAGGACTAAGATGACAGCCATCTTTAGAGGCAGGGCTCAGAGCTGCCCCCTTGCTTGTTCCTGACCCACCACCTTTTGTAATCTGAGCTAGGCAGTCAGGGCAAACACTGGCTGCTGAGCCAGGAGCACCAAGGTGAGGCTGAATCAATAGTCCTGAGTGTTGTTTTTCCTCCTTCAGCAAACAGACAGCAGGACCTCTCTACCAGGGGCCACATAACTGTCCCCAGAAAGGGCCCCCAGCTAACCACAAGCCAAGCTCCTGGGATAGGTGGAAGCTAGGGCAGGCTCCAGTAGGCTGCTGGGGGTATCCTGTCTCAGGGCCAAGTGTTTGCATCTGCCCAAGGTTCCTGATGCCCCCCCCCCCCCCAACTCCAGAGTCCCAGCCCCAGAGGTGGCCATTCATTCAGATGGTGATGTGAATGTTACCTCAGCGGAGCAGGACAGATCTGCTCGCCACCGGATTCTCAGGGAGCTACAACAGGCCTCCCTAACTGCTGCTGTCTCACCCTACGGGCTGAGGGGACTCCACACACAATTCCTGGAGTATTTTCAGTTTACACCAAAATAACCTGACAGCTGATGGCAGGAGACATCCACAATGCAGAATCCATGCCCGAAGGGCAGAGTCCAAAGGGCTCCCAAGACATGCCTGGGAGTTCCAGTTCCCTGTCCCCTTGGGAGATAAAGCCACTATTTATGGCTAATCAGAGGCTCCAGTGCTAAGGGGTACAGGGACCCCAAGCCCTCATTTAAGAAGATGTGGGGCTTAGAGGAAAGGCCTGCTCTCCTGTGACATCTAAACCTCTTGGGATTAGTAGACACCAGGCAGACTCCCGGCCCAAAGTTGGGAGACCTGCCTACAGCTTCTGAATTCCGGCAGGGTCTGTCTGGGTCTAGCCCAGGTTCTGGCAAACCATAGATGGAGCCACAACTGCGTGGTGATAGAGGTGATTAACCAACTATTTAATTACCTTGCAGCAGTCCACGAGCAAGCACCCACGCTTCAGGCACAACTGAACAAGATGGGAATCTCCCCACCCCTAAGAAAGGTGATCTGCCTCCCTCCACCAAGTGTCCTCACCTACGGCAAGGGTAGGCGATGGACAGACAGCAGACATCAGACAGCCATTCCTCAACATCTGACATAGAGGACCCCCAACACACACACACACACACACACACACACACACACACACACGCCGAGAACAATGAATGAACAGGCTTCTCCCCACCCCCATCCCAGACTCTGACTCACCCTCTGAGTCCCGGTTGTCTCAAACCAGGAGGCTGGATATATTTCTAGCTTCTCTGGGTCAGTTCTGCCCAGCACTCAGCTCTGGGGCCCGGCTACAGACTGAGCCTTGTCGCTGTCCCTAGCTGTTTTCTTGGGCAAAGTCTTTCTCTCCCTCCCTAGAACCTGCCAACAGAGACAGCCCAGGTATCAGAACTGCACCAACCACCAGGTGTGGCTGTTGTTTCCTGGGGCCTGGAGACCTGGCTGGGACAGCAGCACAGAGCAAGTCACAGAAGACTGTCGGGAAACCCGGTCAGGTCTCTTTCTAGCAGAGACCCCAAGGCAGGTCTGTTACCGGCACACATACACTCCCATGGAATTCTAACTCCTAGTCCTGGCTCAACTACTGTTCCTTGTGTGATCTTACACAAGTCATTTCCTCTTTCTGGGCCTCAGTTTCCTTGATGGTTAAAACTATTAAAAGCCAGCGGCTTTAAAACTTTTTTTTTTTTTTAACGAAAAGCCAACGAATCTTCTTAAAAATGTAAATTTTAGATAGAAGCCTAATATAGGAAACAAACAAACACCGAATCTGCTCAGCCACTCTCCTTCGCTGTGCCCACACCTGGCCAGCAGCCACAGGCCCTCCCTGGGCCACATCACCTGCATCGCCTTGGTACTTCCCAAGTCAAAGAGAACCCCAGCGCTCCAGAGGGATGAAAGTCGCCTTCCCCCAGGCGCCAAGGACCAGAGGCGGTGGGGAAAGTAGGCACTGACCAGACCAGCGTCTGCCGTCAGACCTGTCTGGCAAGCAGGCCGCCCCTCGTCCAAGCCACCCGACGGGGGCAGCAGGGGCCTCCGCCAAGGCCTCGGCAGGAGGCAAACCCAGACCTCCCCGAGCCGGCCTGCGCGCGCCCGTCCGCCGATCCCGCCCGCCGATCCCGCCCCCGGCTGCTCCGGCCGCACAGGTGTGCGGTCCTCCGCCCGAAGACCCCGTGTCCCTACCAGGAGCGCGTCCCGCGGGGTGGGGGGGCACAGGCCCGAGCCGCCGGGGCTCCGGAGGTCGGCGGGGCAGGCGTGAGCACCCAGCGCCCTCGGAATGCTCTGCCCGGCCCGCCCCAGCAGGGGCCCCGCCGGCGTTTCCTGAGGTCAGAGGGCTCGCCCCGGCCCCAGCGGAAAAGTACCGGCGCGGGCCCCAAGCCCCGCGCTCAGGTGGGCTGCGCTGCTCCCGTCCTCCCACCGCGGCGGCCGGGAACCCGCGGCCAGAGACCGGCGGCCGGCGAGGCCCGGGGCTGCGCCGCCCGGTTCCGCGTTCCCTCCCCCGCTCCCCACGCCAGCTCCGGGCCCGGCTCCCCGGCGCGCCGCCTTCCCGGCCCCGGGGCCGCGCGCCCTTGCCGCTTACCCTAGGGAGCCCAGGCGGGGAAACTTTTCCGGGCGAGCGCCGGCCGCGGCTGCTCGGCAGCCCTCGGCCGAGCGCGGAGCCCGGCGGCGGGGGCCTGGCTCGGGCGGTCCCCGCGCCCGGCAGCGGCGTCACGGCGCGCAGGCGGGGAGGCGCGACGGCGCGGCCTCGGCCCGGCCGGCGACCAGGGCAAGGCTCGGCCTGGGCTCGGGCGCGGGCGGGGGCAGCGGCCCGGCCGCGGCGGCGCGGCTTGTTTACTCGGGCCGCTGTCACGGCGGCGGCGGCGGCGGCGGCGGCCCCGGCTCCTCCTCCTCCTCCTCCTCGCCGCGCCCCTCCCCCTCGCGGCGCCACCTCCGCGCTCCGCGGCCGCCGCCGGCCCGGCCCGCTCGGCGCCCGTGCTGGGCGAGCGTTCCGAGCGCCCCACGCGGCGGGCCCCGCGGCCTTTAGGGCGCCCTGGCTGCGGCTGCCGGCGGGGCGGGTAGGAGCGCGGCCCCTCCGTCCGCGCCGGGCTCGGCTCTCGGCCCCGCGAACTCCCCGGCAGGCGGTCTCAGAGACGCCGGCGGGATGGCGAGGGAAGGGGCCGGGAGTCGTGGGAAGCCCAGGCTGGCCCTGCCTTCCCCGCGGTCCCGGCTCCAGAGCCCTGAGTTTGGGGGACAGTCCTGGGATGGCGGACCTGGGGCAACTCCACTCCCTCACTGGTCGGACCTCACGGCGGCGGTAGGGCAGCCCTCGCGCCTCCTGCTAGAGGAGGCAGACTTTTATTTGCTTCTGTAGAGACAGGTGGATAAACAGAAATAGCCCACCCCCTTTTATGTTTGGTCTTCCCCCCCCCCGCCCCCTGCAACAACGGAGAGCCAGGCACTGGGCCAATCAGTTCACATTATCTTCTCCTTATGTACATTCTTTAATCCACATAATCCGTTCAGGCTGATTTAATAACCCCACTTTACAGATAAGGAAACTGAGGCACACAAAGTTTAAATAATTTTCCTTAAATCACACAACTTAGCAGGCCTCGGATTTGGCAGTGCTTCACGCCAAGCTACTTAGAATATACCAGCCAGAACCCTTCCCTCCCTGGGTTCCTGCCCTAGAAAACGGCTGTGCTACTTGGCCGAGGTCGACATTCTGCTGGAGCTGAGAAAGAAGAGGGGAAACAGGGCCAAGAACTTCCCAGGCTGGGTTGTTCCAAGGTCGTCAGCAGCCTCTGCCCAAACCCTTCTCGCTGTCTGTGAGATAACCTGGCTACAAAATGCTATCCCTTCCTCTCCTTGAGGGTCTTTTAACACGGGTAAAGCCGCTGAGTGCTCCTCAGGGCTAGGCACTATCCTAAACCGGCTCCATGTGGTTTGGCTTAACCCGAACCGCAAACCCCATGAAGTTCACACAGCAGTTGTTTAGGGATCTTTTCTGCATCCTAGACTGTTCTTCTGAGGATGGGGTTTAGACCCAGGAAGGTTAAATATGCCAAGGGGCCAGGAGTGGGTAGCACTTGCCTTGTAATCCCAGAACTGGGGAGGCAGAGGCAGGATTAAGACTGCATACTAACACTTTGTCTCAAAATCCCCCGAAATATGTGTGTGTGTGTGTGTGTATATATATATATATATATATTTCTAAAGTCATTCATGTGGCAAATCATCCAGCAAAGTTGAGTTCCAATCCCTGTGGCACTATTTTGCATTATGACAACCTTAAGTTCCCAGAGCCTCAGTTTACCCTTCTGTAAATGTGTATGCAGTTAATGGAGTCTGTTATAATTTGAGCACCCTTAAAAACACTACCAACACAGGGTCCTCAAGGCCAGGAGATTAGTCTGTCCGTCCTTCTGGCTCCTCCCAGACTTCTCTTAGAAGGAGCTGGGAACTATGGGGGCCATTATGGGGGCGCCCCTACCAGCACAGCCCATGCACAGTTGGGAAGAACAATACTCCTGTGGTGAGACTGAGGCCGGAAGTGAGTCAGAGTTTTTCCTCGGGCTGTGAGCAACAGCACCCATTTAGGGGAAACAGGGACAGGGTTGGCCCTATCTAGCAGGGGAGTCCCCCCCAGTGCCCCTCCTGATTGTCCTGTGACCTAAAAAAAGGTCACCCCAGAATGAAAGCCTCTGTGGTTCTGCCCATCCTTGGAGGTTGGGCCCAGAGGCATCTCGGTGATCTTCCTCGCTGATGCTGCCTGGCTGAACAGAATCTATACAGGCACCTCACTGAGGGAGAGGGATACGTGGAGGGACCCAGCGGGTTGAGCAGCTGCCCGGCTTAACCCACAGCCGCTTCCACTCTGTTCCTCTCCAGTTTGGAAGTTCACAAAGATTGCATTCGCAACAATTCCGCTGGCCAGATCTGGAAGTCTTTCTCGGGCTAGTGAGCGGCAGAAGGCCTCACCTCGGTGAAATAATTTCTGTCTGTAGTTCTGTTCTCCTACTCACCTTCTCCCTATTGACCTGCAACCTAAGCTGCCTCTGACACTCAACTCCTGACGAGTCCCCCACGGTGACACTTATCTGTTTTACAGAATCCCTAGGACCTGAAGTGACTGGAGTCTAGAGATGGGAGAAGCGGGGCCCTCTGGAGGGCTGGAAGTAAGAGGAAGGGGCCACTCTCTCTTTATCCTTAGATAAAGTTGAGCCATAATTAACCACAGAGTGCTAAAATCCATCCAGTCCCTTTGTCCCCTTGGGGAACTGCGGGAGTCTCCACCTCTCAAACCTTCCCCACCCTGAGGCACCCAGAAGCCTTCAATAGCAGTCACCCTTGGTTTAAGTCACAATACACGCAGCCTGTGTGTATAAAGGGTGCTTCCTGTCCCTGGAGGGATGGGACAGCTTTTTGCTTGCGTCCTTTTTTTCTCTTACCTGAACCTCCATAGCTCCTATAATACAATAGCAAAAGCTTCAAGTCATGCAAAACTGAGTAAAGCATTGCCATACTTCACCGTCTAGCTCCAGAGAACCCACGACGATCCATCCTGCTGGTCCCTTCGGCTTCCCTGTTGGCTGCTGGTGCCCCGGTGAGGCTCCTGTCACGCCAGGCAGTAACTTTCCAGTTCCGGCTAAACCACTTTGGGAAAAAACCCTTTATATGACAGGCCAATTGGTGTCTGTAGGTGGGGGGAGGAGCCTCCAACTAGAAGTGATGCGGCAGTGACATATCTTGTCACGTTGGAACCGGATCCCAACATGACTAGCCTTTCTCATTTTCTCGTTTATTGGGGTGGGTCTGCACTTACCTTTTCCCGCTGGCTCCTCTCCATCCTGGTCACTTGGTGCTTTAATGGCTTCCTCTGGCCAGCTGGAAGTCTTCAGCCTCCCCTTCTGTGCCCAATGAGTGCTACCCACAATTAGGCACCTAATAAATGCTTTGGGTGCAGCCCTGTCTGCCAGGCATTTGCCGGATATGTGCTGCGTGCCTTGCCCTGGTTCCCTTAAGGCTTGTCCTTGGGAAGGCAGAGCTACCTCTGACCTGAGACTCCGCAGGGTCCTTAACTTTAGCTTTGTGACCTGCTGTTCCAATCAGCCCACTTCTCCTCCTTCACCGTTAACAGCTGACCACCATCACTTGAGCTTCTGCCTTGGTTGGTCGTCCGTCCATACAGGGTTTCTCTCCTTCAACACTATTGATGCTTAGGGTCAGACTGTCTCCGTGGTGGGCGTTGAGTGGGCACTGTCCAACATCAGTCACCTCTCTGGTTCCAACCCCAGATGCAACCCCCACAGTAATAACATCCCCAAGTTCCTAAACTATGTCTCCGGTGACAAAATCACAACCCCAGGGAAACCTCTGATCCACAGTCAGGTATGCCAGTCTGGAGGCATTGGGAGTCGTAGCTGGGAACCAGATACCCCGATGGCTCTTGGGTGCCAAGCCACCTCATCTGGCAGTCTGACAATGGTTATTGAGTGTGCAGAGCAAACAATGTCACATATCTTCATGACTTCTGGGGACATCTCTTTCAGAATGTTAAAGACAGGGTGACTCAAGGATCACACTCCATTGACTAGCGTGGGGAAATGGGTGAGACATCTTAGCGTTAGGCGTATTTAGAAAGCAGATCTAGGAATGGGAAGTGGGTAGGGAGGGGCGAGAGGAAGCCTCCCCGATGATGGACGTGTTCCTTATCTTGATTGTGCGATATTGTCATGGGTATGCACATGTGTCAAAACATATTAAATTGTGTACTTTAAATAGATGTGGTTCATAGTATGTCAATTATACTTCAATAAAGCTGATTCCGATTGTTTACGGTTGTGGTGCTTCACAGACACTGCTCTGGAAATCCACTTGGGGAGTCCCCAGTGGCGAGGCTAGGATGAGAGCACTGAAGACAATAAATGTCTGGTGTGACGGTCACATTCGTAACCCAGCCCTCAGAGGGGCTGAGGATTGGTTCGGGTTTGAGACTACATCGTAAGACCCTTCTAAAATAAACTAAAACTCACTCATGGTGATGCAAGTCTGTAATCTCAGCACCTGGGAGGCGGCAGCAGGGGGATCAGGAGGAGAGGCCAGCCTCAGCTCCAACCAAGTTTGAGATCACCCTGGACTACATGAGACCCTGTCTCCAAAAGCGGGGTGGTGTTCACAACTGACAGGAGGGGACAATGTGAGGAACAGCTGGGCGGGAGGTCATGGAGAAGCTGTCCATCCTCCGGCTCAGGAAAGCTTAGTCGGTCAGACGACATCAAACCAGCATGTCTGGAATGGTGTTATCAAGGGCTTCAGAAATAAAACAATGGATGTAGTGTGGGCAGCCAGGAAAGAAACAGATGATTCTGGAAATTACAGGTTCCTTCACTAACTTTAATCCTTAAACCAAATACTGCAAGGGGAAAAGTCAGCTAAGACCTGGGGAAGGGCGGCGCTTTCTCCACGGGGCAGGTACTCCTGAAGAGCAGAACCCAGAGTTCCGTGCCAGCCTGCTCTTCCCAGGATGCCGCCCACCCGAGGGGCTGCACTGAGCACACATGTCTGAGAGGCCCAGGAGGGAGGCCTGTGAGTGGCACACTTCTGCCAGGGGACCAGATTCCTTTGAACCACTGGAGACCTCAAGGTCCTCAGGAGCCCTGAGCACAGTAAGGGGTTCACTCATCTGCCAGGTTAGTTGGGTTCGTGGCTGTGATAAAACCCCGACTGAAAGCTACTTGGGGGAGAAAACGGTTTACCTCTTCTGCATCGGAGCACATCACTGAGGGATGGCAGAGATGCAGACGGGGACCTGGAGGCACAAGAAATGAAGCAGAGATCATGGATGAGCACTGCTTGCTTACTGGTTCCCTCAGCTACCTTC